CTAATAACGCGAAGGTCGCGGGTTCGATCCCCCCATGGGCCAAATACTTTTTTTATACCAATTTTAAATGATATTCTTATTACATCATATTTTCTACATTTTTTTCGACACCTGCAATGTAACTTGATTCATAATACGTTGAATCTTCTCTTTTATTTGAACAAAAATTTCTGATAAGTTTCAGTTTGATAACATAATCAGTTCTTGGAATTTTCATGTATCGTTATCTTGAAAATAATGGAAAACAAATTTCAAATTTTTGTACGATTATTTAATTATAAAATTACTTCAAAATGGACATGGTAATTGAAGCAGATGTTGCTAAGGTAACTTGCTAAGGTAACAACCAACCAACTACCGATCAGGTAGAAACGTCAGGCAAATGTGCTTCTTTCGATAGCACAGTATTTCGCGTGTATGGGCGTTCGGGACAAAACTCATAACTTTTAAACTAATCAATTTTCGACCTAGGTCCTGTAATACTTTTTTAAGAGAATTCACGTATGCAATGATTGGCATATAAAAAAATATAGGGTTCCATTTAAAAAAATAACAATGACACTGAAATTTCGTAAAAAAATGACCTTGAGAACAAACCCTTTCCACGATTACATGTGTACCTTGAAATAGTGTAACTTTGCCCTGAGAAGTTTTTTCATACAACTACTAAGAAGGCAGATATTTAGGTGATCCCATTTAACTGAGCCACCTTGTATACTATACTATACTATACTATACCATATTATACTATATGCATTACACTGCGGTGGCCGATCGACATGAAATTTCGGATGGAGGAGGAGGAGGAGGAGTGGACACCAAATATAAAATATTAGCTTCAGCCAATCATTAGTTTCTAAGATATTAATAAAAAGCTTTCAGTACTATACATTGCAACTGTATATACAGTAACATTTTTCGCTGTAGTAGTCGTTGCCGTCAAGTGTCGAGTATAGGTCCGGTATGTATAGGGTGACGAATTTCGTCCAAATAAGGCTCATTGAACGAAGCAGCCATTGAAAGCATGAATTTTAATCTAACATAACCTAATCATGTATGTAATCATCTTGTCGATCAGTCGAACTGAAGCACAGCGTCTAATACCGCCGAATATCTAGGCGGTTGGCGATAACTGTTCTGATATTGAAGTTTCGCTGAAATCTTACATGGGACACCCCATAGAAACTGAGGCCGCTACCACTATTGTGTCATCGACTACTCGTCACTTGACGGTAACGACCATTGCAGAGAAGACGGTTGTATTAGTAACATTTGGATAGGCAGCACTCAATGCTTAGTAACATTTGTATACGCAGTTTCAATGTGTAGTACTGAAAGTTTTTTGCTAATATCTCGGAAACTAATGATTGGCTAAAGCGAATATTTTATATTTCAGGCCCACCCTCCTCCCCCTGCCCGCCAAATTTCGTGCCGATCGACGCCCGGGGTTTTTCGGAACTACACCCCTATAAGATGATAAGCAATAACACTAATAAAAAGTACACTATACACTGGTATTAACACTAGAAAATGAACTTGGAAAAAAATTAACTGGCTATATTCGGCTGTGTCACTTTTGATTGCTCTTCTAAAACTGAAGACTGCACCTACGATGGAGGATTGGCCGTATATTGTTTAAAGAAGGACAAGAGACGAATGTTAAGACTAACATACATACATAAGTGTCTTATCGTTTCACGGGACGCACAAGTGAGGTCTAAAGGCTACGGTTAAAGGCCTGAACGGTGAACATGAATAACGATTTTAACTATTATTTCCGTTTTAGGCTCATTCAACCAGTTGAAATTAATGTTAATATAAAGTTTAATGTTCCCTAAATTAATACAAAAAACATTAATAAATATTCGACACAAAAATTAGTACAAATTATTATTAGTACTGTAAAAATATTGCTGAGCAGTTTTGAAGGTATGACAGTACTAAACACAATTTATAAAAATCAAATTAAAAGCATAAACATTCCGCCAATGAAACGTGTTTAAAGAAATACAAAGAAATTTGGAATAAATTTCTAGTTTGATTTTTGACATCATTATGGTAAATTAAGCAAATGTCTTGGGTAATATTAAAACTACAATTTGTACTTTTATGTTTATTTTCGAATTATTACCGGCAAAAATTCCTTTTACGTGAAATTGGAATACCGTTAAGATACGTGATTCGATCTTATAGATTTAAGCCAGATATTGATTTTAAGCTCTGTATAATATGAAAAGTTAGTATTTGAAATGATAAATAGTTAGTGCATATTACCATGTTGGGTAGGCAGTTTGTCGAAGATTTCTAGTGAGGAAACTCGTGGGCAATTCGAATAATACATATGAAGGATGTACTATGGACGGTATTCAACTCCCGGGCAGCCACCTGTCGCGCGCATGCGTATTCACGTTAAAACACCTCGCCGTTCGTTCCTTAGTGTCAGTGTAAACCAAAATGGCGAGTGTAACGATGGTTCGTGACAGCTCTTGCTGCGTTTCGCTCGTGTTTTCGGGTTTTTAAACGGGACGTGCGTGGATATGTGATTCACGTGACTGATCTAATTACGAAGGGTGAGTGGAGAATGATGATTTATTCGTGGGAAACAGCAGTACGCGATTTTTTCGAATTTCTACGACCGGATCGGCACCCTCCTATTTTCGATGGACAGTGGCGGGGTGACATTGACGTTACTCGTTCAATTATGTGTTTCTTCGGTTACTAGTACACACGACTTATTTTTCTCTCAAACATCGAATGCCTGCTCTACGTATTAACACGAACAACGGAGGAATATCTCTCTTCTGGGTGTGTATTCGCTGACTATTCAAAAAGGAATGAACGTTAGAACGAGAGATCGTTTGATAGTGTTGATTATTATTGTTTCGCGGAAGTGTCACGAGGTGTGTATTGTTTCGAAAGTCTGCCAGTTCTGTGTCGTGCACGTTCGAACGTGCATCGCTTACATGCCCAGTTCCCAATCCTGTAGGGACAGTAGTGTGCGTGCGATATTTTTTAATTTTCGAGTTGTAACGCTTGTTCTCGTCGGCCACGGTGAGTCGATAGTCCATTGTGATAACAAAATGTCGTGTAATATTTTCAGGTTCTAAATTTCTGGCTCGTTGGTCCATTAAAGAGTTTTTTTTGTGCTTATGGACATTGCTTAATGTTGGTTAATGTAAAATGTCAGGGACGACTGCCATTCATGGGGTTTCATAAATATCCCACGTCTCTTTGTGCGTTAACCAATGAAGGGATATTTTGTACGATAATCTTTTTTTCTGTTGGAAAAGTGCTGATAAAGTTTTCTGTAAAATGATGTTACGATCGAAAGTGAATAAGTTTTTTTTTCTCTCGTTCTCTCTCTCTCTTTGTTTTCCTCCAACGTAGAGCAGACTAAATGTATCAAACGAAAGAATATTCGTTAGTACGTAAGCGGTATATTGAATCGTTTAAACTATTTTCGACGAAAAATTTGTATATTTGCTACTTAAGTGAAATTTAAAAATATTGTGAGAAGTTGGTCCTGTGGCGCAACGGATAACGCGTCTGACTACGGATCAGAAGATTCCAGGTTCGAATCCTGGCAGGATCGAAATATCTTTTTTTCTTTTCTTTTGCCATTTTATTTACAGTATACTTTCTATTCTTTATTCCAAGCAACAAAAATACTGGTGCACAAAAGAAATACTTATAGCAAATGTTATTCTCTTTCAAATGTATATTTTTATTTTATCGTAAGTTTTATCACAGTATATCCGTTCGTTTAAAAGTTCTTTTCGAGAATATCGATGTATTTGAGTAAATATCGAAACGAAGTGGAAACAGGAACAAAGTTTTTCGCGAGCACGAGCAACGACGAGTCCCACAA